CGCTCAGGCACCTGCTCAGGGAGTCCCGCTTGTCCTCCAGGCTGAGGGCGTGCAGCATCCGCTGGACCTCTTCGGGGCATTTGAGGCGGGACAGGCCCTTCAGCTGAGACAGCAGGGGCAGGGACGTCGGGCAGGGGCTCCCGGGCTTGGCGCCTCCTCCTTCCCTCCACGTGCTGCGCTGTGTGCCCTGATTTCCCTCCACGCCGCCCTGGTAGGGGCCCAGCTGTCCCACAGGCATTTTGCTACTACCTGCATAAACTGCACCCCAGAAACTTACTACCTCCGTGGAAAGGGATGGGCACAAGGCTCTTGGGGTTTGAATCATGTGAATATGAGTCTCATCAGTACCAAGTACAGCAGCGTATGAAGGAAAGGATTATACCTCCTGACCAAGTGGGAGCCACCCCCCGGGATCCAGGGGACGTTCCACAGATGAGAAATCTAAGTGTTGCAAAGGCAAGAGTTTGGCTGGCTTTTCACCCAGTCAGTGGGAGGGGCCTCTACACCCTTGGAGGGATGCGTGTGTCCTTGTTATTCAGGGCTGTACCCTTGGGCCACGCCTTAGTTTATGCTAATGAGCTGACTCACACTCTGTCTATCTCTCTCAAAAATAAATGAAAATATTTTTTTTTAATTTTTTTTTTTACGTTTATTTTTGAGACAGAGAGAGACAGAGCATGAATGGGGGAGGGGCAGAGAGAGAGGGAGACACAGAACCGGAAGCAGGCTCCAGACTCTGAGCCATCAGCCCAGAGCCCGACGCGGGGCTCGAACTCACGGTCCGTGAGATCATGACCTGAGCTGAAGTCGGACGCTTAACTGACCGAGCCACCCAGGCGCCCCGAAAATATTTTTTAAAAAATAGAAAAAAAAAACAAAAACTGGACACTGGAAGGTTAAGTGAGCTGCCCTCCTGCACGGCGACGTGCCAGCAGGGTATATGTCCTGAGGACATGGAAGCTTCGCACGTGGGACTCACCCAGACCTCACCCTGTGTGTATGTCTCTTCGTTCGGCTGGTCCCGACTTGTATCCTTTATAATCACCCTACCCTAATGATAACCCTTGCCTCTCCTCCTCCCCAAATGGTTGGGGAACAGTGTCCAAAAGAGGTTTTAGGACCCTCTGAGGTTGGGGTCAGGGAGCCACAGCCTGTCTTCCCACCACCAGGACGCAGAGGAGCCACAGCCTGTCGCGCACAGACTCACCTGAGCATAGAAAGAGAGATGCTCTGCTACGGTGAGGTCATCAAACAGGATGTCGTGTTGGGGGCACCAGCCCACGCTCTTCTGGATCTCCGCCATATTGCGTGAAATTTCATATCCATTGATATACACACACCCACTTGAAGGGGGAATAAGACCTAGGAGCAAGGAGAAGACATATCCCAAGGTCACCTGCAGTCAGAGCACGCAGCAGAGCAAGGGTGTAAGGACACTCTCTGTTTGTTGGCGTGCAGGCCGCCTCTGCCTTGTCATGATTGGGAACATCTGAGGCGTAGATGATCTGTGACAGTGAGTGAGGATGTGTGGGGGCAGCGGAGGCAGGAGACCTCCTTCCTACGTCTGAGGAGCGCCAGCCTGCCTCGGTGAAGAAGACACACACGGGTGCGCGTCATGCTTACACTGAGGTGAGCATTAAGAGCTACTGTGGAAACGTGGTTCAGAACGATGGTGTTTGGGTTGTCTAATAGGTTTGACCTGAGACCCATGACTGATTCCGTGTAAATTCCCAGTAAGCCCCAGGGAGCACTCGAATGATCGTACCCCCTGCCTGGTGCATGTGGGGATGTGTATATGGCCCATCTGTGTACTCTGTCTTTATTATCAGTTTCTTTAAAAACATTTTTTAAATGTTTATTTATTTTTGAGAGAGAGACAGAGAGCACAAGTGGGGTAGGGGCAGAGAGAGAGGGAGACACAGAATCTGAAGAAGGCTCCGGGCTCTGAGCTGTCAGCACAGAGCCTGACGCGGGGCTTGAACTCACAAGCCTTGAGATCAGGACCTGAGCCGAAGTCGGACGCTCAACTGGCTGAGCCACCCAGGCACCCCCTAGTCTCATTTTCTTATTTTAAGTTGTATTTTTTCAGACTGAAAAAGGCCATAGATGTCTATTGCAACAGGGTTAAAGGAAGAAGGGCAAAGCAGACGAAGGTTATGCACATCCCAACCTGTAAACACGACCGCTGTTAACATTGTTTTGCATACTTCCGACTGTGTTCTTACGTTCTTATGCGTACGCTGTCCCACATGCTAAGTTTCTAGCAAAACTGGGAAATATAAATTCTGGTTCTTTTAACTGGCCTTTTCACAAAACAGTCTACTGAGGCCATTTCTCCACGTCAACGAGATCTATATAATTTGCGAAGGCTAACAGGATTTCATTGTTATGAATATACCCTGCGTATTTATTCACACCATGCTAGTAGGTATTTAGGTATTTAGGTAGTTTGCAGTGTTTCGTGAGTATGAACATGGATCTCAACTCTGCCTTCCTCCCCATACACTTTCTGACTCCAAACCAATGTCAGTAGATTCGGTGGCCAAGAGGGGACAAGACTTTCAGGTTCTTGATACTTCCTGCCAAATTACCCACTGATGGCGTTTTGGGATCTTTCATTTGCCTGTGGACGATAAAGCATCGGTGACTGCGGTTGGGGGATGGGGAGGAAAACCAGTGATGCTTTCCACGTTAAATACGTAAGTCTTTTTATGTAGAGTTACAATACTAGAATAGCTCCTAGAATTTTTTTTTCAAAACCCACATAGCTTTACTGGGTGGAGGAATGGGGTTTCAGATACAGAACAGGCCTGTGCCAACTTTGGGGCCTCCGTGCACAGAAGCCCTTCAATGTTCAGTGTCCTGGGCCCTCAGCCAGGCTTTCCCTTCCCGGCTTAGCATCTTCAGGGCTATTCAGTCTCGCTCGGTGTCTCTCAGCCGTGCCACTTTCTCCAGGGCCGTGTTGGCCTTTTTTTCTGTGCCATGTCACTGCCGGTAGAAATCCATGGCTCATCTCTGAGAGGTCATTCGTGGTCCGCATTGTGGCAGGACTTGCAATTACGTTCATTCATTCATTCAGTCAGTCATTCGTTGAAAAGTATTTACTGCGTGGCTGTTCTTTGCCAAGCCCTGATCCAAGCACCACTGGCCAGAGGGAAACAGAACAGATTCTCTGGAGAGAGGGATGGGGGAGACAGAGGTAGCACACATATACAGAAACCACTGCTGAGAACAGCAGAGAGGGAAGCACCCGGGAAGAGTGTGTGTGTGTCTGTGTGTGTGTTTGGGGCGGGCAGCGGGGGAAACGGTTTACGTCTTTGTCTTTGAACAACACTAGGGCCTTAGTCATGTGGCCTGGGGGTCTAGCTGGGTCACCCTACAGGCGCTGAGGACCTCAAGTCCATACAGGAGGAGAGGCCTCTGGCATCAGCAATGCCTGCATCTGACAAGGACCCCTGTCTAGAGACAGTACTGCACCCCAGTCCAGGAAACCTGCCGGCCTCAGTCCCCTGTCCTGACCCCCACAGAGCCTGTCCAGTGAGCGTCTGTGGGGCTGAGCCTCAGATCCTAAAATCCTGATGCCGGGGACGGGGCGTGGAGGGGGAGAGACCGACGGAACCTCAGACCAAGTTTCCCCTTTGCTGCTCGTCAGAATCTTCCAGAGAAGGTGCACAGCAGCCTGAGAGGGGAACCGAGGCAGCCTGCCTCTGAGATGCTGATAGTTTCTCTGGCAGGGTGGATGTCTGTGACTGCTTGGCTCTCAGAGCTCCTTGAAGCTCAGAAATGTGTCTCGTTGGTCTTGTACAGAACTTTACACAGGTTAAGGCTCCAAGAAATACATATTTGCAGAATGAACAAGTTCTCAAACATCGCAGCCTATTGTTTTAGCTGACAGAATGTGAAATAACTATTTAGGCATCAAAATGACTGTGAAACCGAAGTAATTGTAGAATAATTCTCCAGGTCTCATCCTAACTGAGCCACCTCCCCCGCCCCCCCCAATCAGAAGCAAATGGATGGATTTCATGGTTAGGAGATTAGTGGTGCCTCCCTGTACCGGAAGGTTCTATGTGGGAAGACACACATAGGGCAGGGCTCACAGCTCCTGGATAGCGTGTGAGATCAGAGTCTGCAGGCTGAAAGAGCCAAAGATTTCCTTTTCCTGCTACAAGTTCACGTGAACAGCCAGACAGGATACAGATGGCATAAAAACAAACAGCAAATGCTTCGTATTAAGACGTCAGTGAGATCTAACGAGGGGAGATGGAACAGAATTCGGGGTCTGTTCCTCCTCGAGGGGCTGGCCCTGCACAGGTACCTGTGAGCACGTAGCACGTGGTGGTTTTGCCGGCTCCGTTGTGTCCCAGGAGAGCAGTGATCTGCCCCTGGTACAGATTCAGGGTCAGGTCTTTGACTGCTACATGTTTATTCTTTCCTGTGTGATAGACCTGCGGAAAATTCAACGCGTGACTGACCGTGGAGCACGTGCACACATGTGGCGTTTGTGACGAACCTGTGACCCACCCCAAGTTCCCCTGCCAGCCCATCGGTGGGAATCCAAGTGGAAATCTAGAAGGGAGCCCTCTTTTCGGGGTTTAGCTGACCGGGGTGGGGGGGGGGCTGGTGAGGAGCCTGACGGGGGTGGGGCGCAGTCCTGGGGGTTCTCCCTGGTACCCGAGCCACGGAGGCCAGAGCTCGAGGACGAGGGGCTCAGAGCTTGGCAGGGAGATTTCTCCCTGCTTCTAGAACCACACCTTTCCCCGCATTACCTGGCTAAGCCCCCTCAGAAATCATGCCAGAACCGTGTGGCTGCAGACAGCCTGTTGTGTGAGCACAAAGGGAATCCCTGCATGTGGAAGTGGCAGGCATGCCTGGAGGGAGCTGGAGCCATCCCGTCCCGGGCCAGAATGTGACGCCTCCTCCCCCTCCAGCTCCCACAGGCAGAGAAAGGCTGCGAGCGTGACAAGGCTGCGTTGTCAGTACAAGGAAACCGCCTCTCCTTGGGACTCATCGCATTTGAAGGACAGACGGGGCCAAAGGAGAAAATGTGGGACATCCCCGGCATGGGGCTTGTGTCCAGGCGTCCCATCGCGGCACCGCCTAGTCACGTGGGGCTCTGCGTGCAGGAAGGGCTCAGCCAACGCTGGTGACAGGGAATCACGCCCCAGCTGGAAGCGGGCCCTGAGAGCTGGGGCTCCGAGTGGCTGGGTGTGTGAACCGTGGAGGATGGAAGTCAGCCAGCAAGTGGCTGAGTCCCAGGGTGTCCCAGGTGTCTCCAGGCAGGGGCGCTGGCAAGGCAGGGGTGAGGGGGGCGGGTTATTTCAAGAGAGATCATCCAGACCCTCCACCCTCCTCCACTTAGCTGCACCCCAGGAGACAGGGCACTTTACATCAGGTTCCTCTTTTGAGGACAGCATTCCAGGAGGAAACGAAACCTCGGTCAGGAAATTGTGCCTCGTAACCCCCATCAACAATAAAACAGAAGCCTCTGCGCCTGTTTCTTCAGTTCTCGGAAGGAGATTTGTGAGCCGATACCTTGTAGAGATGCTGGATTTCAATCCCTTTCTTCAAATTGGTAGGCTCTTCCTGAATCAACTTGCTCTTTGGAGAGTTGTCCGGATCCGCCACCTGGAGCACCGACTGCGTGAGGGGCACGGGCTGTCCACGCCAGTGGGATGGCTAGACAGAAAGGCAGCTGACATTAGCACGTGCGGGTGAGTCCACTGTCTGCTTCGGGAAGGTAAATATTTCGGTAAACCAAGTTCTCCACATCCCTCCCCCTCCAGCCCCCAAGTTTCCTGGTCCCAAATATTTAGTGGTGCCTGGAGACGTCAAGCAGCTTGCTCGTGGACCCACTAACAACAAGCTGCTTTCTAGCCTGCAATTCGTGGTCCTGAGGACGGAGTGAGTGACGGGGACGCGCCCCGCCCTGGCTCGCGGCGTGCCGGGAAGCTCCCTGTGGCCGAGGCCTGGAGAAGTACCGGGCGGGCGCTTGTCCACACTCTGGGAAGGGCCAGCAGGGCGGCCGCACAGAGGTCCAGAGTGAGTGCCCGTGCACGTCAGACAGGGTCACCCCCTTCACAACGGGGCCACTGGCGGGGCGTTAATCGTGCTCCCCTGGTGACCGCAAGCTGATAGGTTCCGGGGTGAATCCGGCTTAGAGGACCCAGCTTAGGTGTCCTGGGGTTCGGGATTTCATCGGGGACACCGCCACGACGGGCGAGGGTATCGGGGGGAGGCCGTGGACGGTCTGCGTCGGTCTGCAGAGCGGCGGCGCCCGCACTCACCATGACGAAGAAGTACCAGGGCTTGGGCACGCCATGCTCGCCCGGGAGGACGGCCTCCACGTACCCGGCCACCGCGCCGTACAAGACGGAGTCCAGCAGAAGCATCAGCAGCACCTGGCAGAAGTTAAACTCCCCGCTGAAGCCGCCCACGTTCTTCCACTGCAGGCCTGTGCCTGCCCGGAGAAAGGGCCGCAGTCAGCACCCGGAGGGCAGGACGTCCCGCTCCCGCCGCCCACAGGCCTGCAGAGTTGATGTCTGGGGCGCCAGGGGACGAACGCAAGGCACAGGAGGGGGGAAAGCTAGAGCTGTGAGTGTCTCCCACACGACAAAACATTTTCAGTATTACCAGAAGGCGGTAGTGTTTTCACTGGCACCGAATAGGGACGCGGTCATCCAAGACGCCTCCCCGCTTCCGCACCTGTTACCCGCCTTGTCCGCCGGGCTAATTCTCACCTGAAGTGAGGGCTGCCCAGGGGTCTCCTTACCCTGCACCCCTCCCCCGTCCGGGTTATGTGCCCATCCCCCCGGCACCCTGAGCTAACTGCGATCGGAGAGGGTAGGGCTCTGTGCTGTGAACCTGCCCGAGTTAACTGTTCACCCATCACTGTATCTGCAGCGTCTGCCCCGGGGCCCCACGTGCTGTGGGCGATCACACATCCCTGTTCCACAAATACAGGAAGGTACCGAGGAGTTGGCTTGGGACCAGGTCCTGGGCGCGTAGGGAGGAAAGTAGCCTGTGTGGCGCCCAGTGTCTAATCTGGGTGCAAGTGGCCAAGGCTTCTCACTGAAAGCGTCCGAGATACTGAGTGTCCGCCAGCAGGCTCGCGGTGGCGGGAACCAGCAACGCCGAGGGAGAGATTCAAATGCGGGCGGGCGAGCATACAGACGGGCTAGATCGCTGCTCCTCAGACTTCAAAGTGCTTGCTGAGCACCTGAGGTTCTGTTCCCATTCGGCGCGTCAGGGCCCCCCACGCCCCACCCCAGGAACCTGGGCTGAGCTGAGCTGCCGTGGGGAGAAGGGCCAGGTGGCCTCCGAGGCCCTTCCTGGGAGGCAATCCCGCGACTGGTCCACACGAGAGCGTTGCCTTCCACCGCGCCTGACAATCAGATCTCGCAGGGCTCAGGGCAGACTCCAAGGCTGCGGTGGACACTGAGCCCACGCGGTTCTCGAGAGCAGGTGCATCCTCACGCAGCGCTAGTCTGCCCCGACGTCAGATCCACCCCCCTTTACGGTCATTTAGTTTGCATCTTGTTTAAGAAATCTTTCCCGCTTCGAGGATAGGAGTGTTCTCTTTTATATCATCATCGCCAAGAGCGTTACAGAGTTTTGACGCTGGAATTGACCCCTGTGGGTGCTGTGATTTGCGGGTCCGGTTTCAACTTCCCCAGAAGGTCTTCCCGTCCCTGCAGCACCATTTACTGACCCCCACTGCCGGGGGTCGGCGTCACTGCCAACCTTCACCCGTGCCTTTGGCCTTGGGTTTCCTGTTCTATCAGTCTTTTTGTCAGTCTTAATTATGATTGCTCTCTGATAGATCATCATGTCTGGGAAAACAAGGTTTCCCATCTTGCTCTTCCTGAAGCGGTTTTGGCCATTCTTGCCTCTCTGTACTTTCGTTTAAATTTGAGGGGGCGGCTGGGTGGCTTAGTCGGTTGAACGTCCAACTTCGGCTCAGGTCATGATCTCACAGTCCGTGAGTTCGAGCTGGGCATCGGGCTGTGTGCTGACAGCTCAGAGCCTGGAGCCTGCTTCAGATTCTGTGTCTCCCTCTCTCTCTGACCCTCCCCTGTTCATGCTCTGTCTCTCTCTGTCTCAAAAATAAATAAACATTAAAAAAAATATTTTTTTTAATTTGAGGGGGCGCCTGGGTGACTCAGTCGTTTGAGCGTCCGACTTTGGCTCAGGTCTAGAGTTTGGATCAGGTAGGGGTTAGCTGTGACTTCCTCCCATGATTTATCTAATTATATTCAGAAGAAGGTGCATGCGGGAGGGGTCTGCGCCATGTCCGTTCCATCTAGAGTGTTCTGAACAGGGTGTGCCCGTCCTGCGCCCCGACTTCCAGCCCCCACGCCGTGGAGGTGGGCGTATGACCAAAGTCCTCTCTTCTTTTATGCCGCTTTTGGACTCAGCCAACCTTTCGTTACTCTTTCTTCTATTAAGTTTAAAAGTTACCCACTGCTTCTGGCCTGCTTGGCTCAGTAATGAATCACCAGGTCTGCTTTATGTTGCAAAGTCTAAACTTAATTATCTTTACTCTCCTTCCGGGAGGTATTTACTCCCTTTGGGTTCTGACATGATCCCCTCTAAAGCCCCTCCTATACACTTTAATTTTACCTGTTAAAAAAATTTTACCTGTTAAAAAAATAAAGAATAAAAACCTAAGGGAGGGCGCCTGCATGGCTCAGTCAGTTGAGCATCCGACTCTTGATTTCAGCTGAGGTCATGATCCCATGGTTGTCGGATCGAGCTCTCGAGCTCCGCGTCAGGCTCTGAGCTGAGCCTGGAGCCTGCTTAAGGTTCTCTCTGCCCCTCTCCCCCACTTGCATGCACGCGCTCTTTCTCTCTCTAAAAAAAACCCAAAAAACAAAAACCTAGGGGCGCCTGGGTGGCTCAGTCGGTTAAGCGTCCGACTTCGACTCAGGTCATGATCTCACAGTTTGTGGGTTTGAGCCGGGCATCGGGCTGCGTGCCGACAGCTCAGAGCCCGGAGCCTTCTTCAGATTCTGTGTCTCCCCCTTTCCCTGCCCCTCCTCCGCTTGCGTGCACGCACACCCACTCTCTCTGTGTCAGAAATGAATAAACATTAAAAAATAAAAAAAAAATAAAACCTAAAGGAATCTCCGCTGCCGCTGCTGCCACTGCTGCTGCTGTTGTTGTAGTTATTTTACACAACCCGTGTATGAAGCCGCTGTCTTCAGGCCCCCACTGTGGCTCTGTTGAAAAGCAATTTTTCTTTTTGCTCCCCAGGCCACTTTTAAGATTTTTCTCTTGCCATCTGCTGTGCTCCGTTGTACGCTGGTGTGCCTAGTGTAGATTTCTTATTACTCTCGTCTGGGATTTGCTGGGCTTCCTGACATTGAGTTTGGGGACAGATGGGGGCACCTCTTTCCAGATGCATTTCCTCTGCCCCTTCTCTCATTCCCTGCCGGATCTCTGCTTAAATGGAGGCAAAACGCTCTTCCCTGCGTCAGTTTTCAGCTCTCCTGCCACTTTAAAATCCTTTTGGTCCTCGTTGCTGCCTTCTGCATGGTTTCTTCTCACCTCCTTCCAGGTCATAATTCTCCCTCCGCTGTTTCGAATCTACTGGTAACCCATCCGCGAAGTTTGCTCCTTGGCTGGTCGTATTTTGTATTTCCCCCAAGGGGTATTGCGTCCTCATTGCTTGCAGATATTTTCAAACCTGCCTTATGAAAAGAAAAACCTATCACGAGCATTACTGTTTTATAATCTGTGATTTGATAATCCCAAAATGTGAGGACTTTGTGAATCTGTTTTCACTTTGTCTTGTTTCTGTTGGTTCCTGTCCATGGCTGTTTATTTCCTTATGTTTTTCACTGCCTTGTACTTGAAAACCTGTGAGGCTTTGCCTGTGAGGCCAGCTCTGCCGGGCACCTGGGCTGCTGCTTGAGGGTCCCTGGACTGCCCCTGCAGGGTGACCCGGGCTGCAGCTCCGACAGAGAACCAGCTTGTAACAGGCTCGCGGGGGCAATTTTCTCCTTTGTTTTTCTTTCACGATACAGCCAGCACCACGGCACCTTCCCCAAGGCCGTCTCGTGTATCAGGGGTTGGTATAAAGACACAGGGATGTACTTTCCTGCCCCGCCCCCTTCACGAAAGCTGTCACCTCAGCTGCCGGACAGGCTTTCAGCTGTCAGCCTCCTCACAGCCTTTTCTGGGTGGTCCACACCCAGTGACTGCAGGAGGCAGAGGCGTGGGAGCCGGGCCATCTCAGCCCACCCAGGATGCCCACCCAGGATGCTCGGACCCCCACGGCTGTCAGGACCGCATTGTAGCCCTGCCGAGTGTCGTTTCAGTCTCTCCCCGAGAGAATCCCAGCGTGGGAACAAACCCACAAGCTCGTCCAGCCCAACTGCTCACCCAAGTTCCCCCCGCTTTCAACAGAGAGGCTCTGTAAAATTCCCCTATTCACTCACTAACATGGAAGAAATCGGAGGTACTATTTTTTATGTTTATTTATTTATTTTCAGAGAGAGAGAGAGAGTGTGCACATGAGAGTGGGGGGGAGGGGTAGGGAGAGAGGGACAGAGAGAGAATCGCAAGCAGGCTCTGCCTGCTGAGCGCTGAACCCAGCATGCAGCTTGATCTCACCAACCTTGATCTCATGAACCATGATATCACGACCTGAGCTGAAATCAAGAGTCGGACGCTTAACAGACTGAGCCACCCAGGTGCTCCCGGAGCTACCGTTTTAAACCTACTTTTCCCCCGTTGTCGTTTGCAAAGTGTGGTCTCGTCACTGCTTTGTTAAAGAAAACCACTCACCTGCAATGAATTCTGGTCAACTTGACACCCTCCATTATATTTTAAGCACCCTTCACCCATTTAGACCATCCCAACCTAAAGACACATATTGATAGATAGTGCCTCTGAGCAGGTTGTTGAAGGTAATCCCAACTGCCCTAAGAGGACGCATAACCTAGGTCCCACATATAATTCCTATCCCTGTGCTGCTAAGCCAAGCCGTAGTGTCTGGAACCAGGACTCTGGTGATAAAAGCCAACACTGAACAACGAAGACACTTGCTGGAGTGTTCACAGCAGATCACCTTCGTGCCGCGGAAATGTGGGACGGTCTCATGCAGATAGCCTACTGAGGCCAGCTGGTCCCTACATTTTGATATGCTAGCTGCAATCTTCTGCTGTGACTGCTGGCATTCGGAAGGATCCTTCCGACCCCAGAACGTAAGACAGATGAAAACTTGGGGGTGCACTTCCAAAGGTGGGAGTTGGAAGTAGGACACCATTGATGGGAAGTCCCCTAGATGGACCCTGAAGGCTGTGAGCCTCAAACATGACGTATGTAGATAGCACTCCGTTTATCCATAAAATTCTGAAAGTGTGAACCAAATCGAATCATGACTCTGTATCTTTTTTTTTAAATTTTTAATGTTTTTATTTATTTTTGAGAGAGAGAGAGAGACAACAAGCAGGGGAGGGGCAGAGAGAGAGGGAGACACAGAACCCAAAGCAGGCTCCAGGCTCCGAGCTGTCAGCACAGAGCCCAATGTGGGGCTCGAACTCACGGACCATGAGATCATGACCTGAGCTGAAGTCGGACGCTTAACCGACGGAGCCACCCAGGCGCACCATAACTCTGTATCTTTTATATCTGTACGACTGCATGGTCATATCATCTCCTAAATCATTAATATGCTTTAGTTTTGCTCCCAAACCACACTGTGAGCTGTGTGGTGTGAAACGTGTCCTACAACCTACCGTAGCTTCGAGCAGGTCAGAAACGCTCAGGACGCCGAATGAAGAGTGCAGTGAGGCTCTCATGGGAACTCAGGTCACCCTGCCTGTCAGCGGTGACAGGGCATTGAGGCAGCGTCCCTTGGAGAAAGGTGGGACTCACCTCTTATCTCAAATACGGAGATAAATCGCACTCCCAGTGCCATGGCGACATTCGAGAGCAGGCAAAAGCCAATCTTTTGGAAGTGGGTCCTCTGGGAGTAGCTGAAAGTGAGGTACAGGTATGGGAGGTAGGTGAGGAAGAAGATGATTCCTCCCGAGGCAGTGGCTACGTGGGCTGCGGGAAGAAACGAGAAGGGTTTTGTCACTGATGCACCACGTGCGACACAAGCCCCTTCCCGCCACGGCAGGGCGGGGGTGGGGACCGTGGGGGCCTCGGCATCTCCAAGAGAAGCCGTCTTTTCAGGAATTTTGCATTTTCGCTATCAAAAGACCAAGGGTATCTATGGCACTTAAAACACAAATCCATCCGGGGGCGCCTGGGTGGTTCAGTTGGTTAAGCGTCTGACTTCGGCTCAGGTCACGATCTCACGGTTTGTGAGTCCAAGCCCCGAGTTGGGCTCTGTGCTGACAGCTTAGAGCCTGGAACCTGCTTCAGATTCTGTGTCTCCCTCTCCCTCTGCCCCTCCCCTGCTCACACTCTGTCTTTCTCTGTCTCTCAATAATAAACGTTAAAAAAATTAAAAAAAAAAAAAAAAAACCAACACGAATCCACCTGTCCGTGAAGGCACAATGTCTAACTGCCCAAGACGGCACTGACACCATCCCTCACGGTACAGACCTCCTCTGGGCAGTGGGACATGATGTAGCACCAGGACCTGCACATTCTCTCTAGACTCTTCCATAACCCCCGTGCCCTCCCTGTTTTACAGGGGAGGAAACTGAGGTTTAGCCACATGGAATAAATGTGCCCTGTGGCATGGAGCTAGTAAATTATGGGTCAAGGACTCGAGGTTTTTCCAGGTTCTTGGCATCTTGGCTCCAGATTGGGAGAGAAGGCCAATCCAGCTGGAGCGTGGGACAGGAGCTCAGGTTGAGTGCAGGCGTTTGACTTCCGGGAAGTGGAGAGAACAGGGAACCGGTCCTAAAAGTTGCATAGGTAATGGAAAAAGCCCCCATTGAGACAGCAGTGGGCCCTTCACCGAACCTGGCTGACCTTGGATCTTGTATAACTTGACTAAATTTCTTCTTTTGTAAATGGTGTCAATCATTGCTAGGATTTACTAAGCTCTTACCACGCATCAAGTGTTGTCAGCATTTGACGTGCAATACCCTACCTGATTCTTCTAACTAAGTTGTAAATACTGTTATTTTCCAGTCTCACAGAAGGGAAAACGCATGCACAGTCTGTTAACTTGCTCAAGGTCAGGGTCCACACGAGGGTGCAAAACCGGCCCTCTGAGGCCAGAGCAAGAACTTCCAGCCTCAGTGAAGAAGGGAGAAGGGCTGCGTCCACTGGAGGGTTGGGAAAAGGTTTGAAATTGCTGATCCAGAGAGGTGCGGGTCAAAGTGACAAAGGAATGTGGGTGGTCTGCAGGGCGGTGGCCAGCGAATCTGTGAACCCGAGGCCTAAATAAAGAGACTGGTCCACACAGGGGAGAGTGTTTCTCTGGCCAGGTTCTGCTGCAGGGTAAGCGGGGAGCTGGGTGTGACCAGGGCTGAGGATTTGCAATACGAGTTCAACAGAGAGCCGGTGGGTATACGTCAGAGGAGTCAAAGTAGGGACGGGCCAGGGGCTCCGAGGCACACGATGGGGTGATGGGTAGTGACAAAACACTGGGGCCAATGGATCGTGAGATCATGACCTGAGAGTAAGTTGGACACTTAACCAACTGAGCCACCCAGGCGCCCCATGATCAATTCATTTTCAATTGATGCTAAAGCTATTCAATGGGGGAAAGAGTAGCTTTTTTTATTTTCATTTTTTATTTTTATTTTTGAGAGACAAGGTGAGACAAAGTGAGAGTGGGGAGGGGCAGAGAGAGAGGGAGACACAGGATTGGAAACAGGCTCCAGGCTCTGAGCTGTCAGCACAGAGCCTGATGCAGGGCTCGAACCCACAGACTGTGAGATCATGACCTGAGCTGAAGTTGGACGCTCAACCAACTGAGCCACCCAGGCGCCCCAAAGAGTAGCTTTTCAACAAATGGTGTTAGGAAAACTGGATATCTACATGCAAAAGAATGAAGTTGGACCCTGATCTTAGACAATATGCAAAAATTAACTCAAAATGGATCAACGTTCTAAACATAAGAGTTAAACCTATAATACTCTTAGAAGAAACCTTGGGAGAAATCTTCATAACCTTGGGTTTGGCACTGGTTTCTTAGTATAAGGACAAAAGCATAGGCAACAAAAGAAAAAAGAGATAAAGTATACTTTAACAAAATTTAAAATTTTTGTGCATCAAAAGACACTATCAAGACAGTAAAAACACAACCCATGGAATGGGAGAAGATATTTGCAAATCATATCTGAAGAAAGATTAATATTCAAAGTCCATAAGTAACTCATACAATTCAGCACCAACAGAACAAACCATGCAAGTGAAAAATGGGCAAAAGACTTGAACAGGTATTTCTCAAAAAAAAAAAAAAAAAAAAAAAAAAAAAAAAAAAAAAAAAAAAAAAAAAAAAAAAAAAAAAAAAAAAAAAAAAAAAAGCCCTTATGTACTGCTGTGCAAATGTAAAATGTTGCACCTTCTGCAAAAAACAGTTTGCTACTTCCTCAAAAATTTCCTCAAAAAGTTAAATAGAATTATCATCCAGCATCTACACTCCTAGGTGTATGCCCAAAGGAATTGAAAGTAAACTCAAACAGACCCTTGTGCACAAATGTTCACAACAGCATTGTTCACATTAGCCAAAAGGTGGAAACAACCCAGTTTCCATCAACAGATGAAAAGATAACCCAATGTGGTCTGTCCATATTATGGAATAGTATTCAGCCATCTAAGGAATGAAGTGAGGTAGGAGTCCAAGTGCCTATCTGGTTGTCCCAGCACCATTTGTTAAAGAAACTGTTCTTTTTCCATTACATGGTCATGGCACCCTTGTCAAAATCAATTGCCTATTAGATGTATGGGCTTATTTCTAGACACTCAATTCTGTTCCATCAGTCTATCTATGTTCATGCCAGTACCACACTGTTTTGATCCCTACAGCTTTGTAGTAAGTTTGAAAATCAGGAAGTGTGAGTCCTCTAACTTTGTTATTCTTTTTTGAAATTGTTTTGGCTTTTCAAGGCCCATTGCCATTCCATGTGAATTTTATGATCATCTTGTCCATTTATGAGAAAAAGGAAGCTGGGATTTTAATAGGATCTGAATAGAATCTGTAGATCAATCTGGGGGAATAGGGCCGTTTTAACAATACTAAGTCTTCCAATCCATGAACATGGGATGTCTTTCCAATACGTCATCTTTGATTTCTTTTACCAAGTCTCTTATCTCTGTGGTCAGAATTATTCCTGAGTATTTTATTTTGGATGGCATTTTAAGTGGAATTGTTTTCTTGATTTCCTTTTGGGGATGGTTACTGTGCGTGTATAGAAACACAACTGATTTTTGCGTGTTGACCTTGTATCTTGCAAATTTGCTGAATTCATTTGTTTCTGGATCCAAATTCGCTGGATTCAAAGTTCTTTTTGTGGATTCTTTAGGATTTTCTCTGTATAAGATCATGTCACGTTTGAATAGAGAGCGTTTTGCTTCTTCCTCTCCAGTTACATGTCTTTGGTTTCTTTTTTCTTCTTAATTGCTCCGGCTAGAACTTCCAGTACAGTGTTGAATAACAGAGGGGAAAGTGGGCATCCTTATCTTGTTCCTGATCTTAGGGGGAATATTTTCAATTATTCACCATTGAATATGATGTTAGTTGTGGGGTTTTCGTAAATGCTCACTATTGGTTGAGATACTTCCTTTAAATTTTAGTTTGTTAAAATTTTTTTATCATGAAAAGTACTGGGTTTTGTCACATGCTTTTTCATTATTTTTCATATGTTGAATTATTCTTCCATTCTTGGGATAAACCCCACTTGGCATAGTGTGTAATCATTCTAATATACTGTTGGATTTAGTTTGCTAGTGTTTTGTTGATGATTTTTCCATCTCTGTATTCATAAGGAATTTTAGTCTGTAGTTTTTTTGGTCTGATGTCTTTTCCAGCTTTGGTATCAAGGCAACGCTGGCCTGTAGAATGAGTTTGGAATATTTTTGTTTTTATTTTTAGTTGTAGTTTAGTTTAATTTAGTTTAATTTACTTATGTTGGATGCAAGTCTCTTATGATATATAGTACTTGCAGATGTTTTCTCCCAGTCTGTGGTTGTCTTTTCACTTTCTTGATGGTATCCTTTGAAGCACAAAGTTTTTGACATTGAGGAAATCCAATTTATCCATCTGCTTTTTTATGATTTATGCTTTTGTTGTCATGTCTAAGAAATCACCACCTAACCCCAGATCACAAAGATTTATGCCTGTATTTTCTTTTCAGGATTTTTGTAATTTTAACTCTTATATTTGGAGTTACAATCCATATTGAGTTGATTTTGTGCATGATGTGATGTAGGGTCCAACTTCATCTTTTGCTCGTGGATATCCAGCTATCCCAGCACCCTTTGCTGAAAAGACTGTTCCTTATTCCTTGCCTGTTGAATTGTCTCGGCCCCTTCATCAAAAAGCAATTGGTCGTAGACTCTGAGTTGCGTAAGTATATATTTGCCTTCACTTGGGACTATTTCCTACTCTGGTCCTGCTTTATTGTGCTTCTGACCTCATTGGTTTTGTCTTTTATTTCCAGCCTGTGCTTATTTCTTGTGTGTGAACGCAAGCTCAATTTTGGGGGTTTCAGACTTCTGTACCACATTAACCTTAGCTTTTGAGCATCCTTTTGATACTTATGCTCTAAGGTATCCATGTAACTCTCTTCCTTGACCATCCCCCCTGCCATGCTTGCCCTTGAGCTATTGAGGGATAGTGGGACACTAGGTAGAGAATTTGAATCAGGAGATAGTGTCCAAGCCCAGTCAGCCTCCCAAAGAACCCACCCCCATCTTGGCAGGGTCCATATTTTCCAGGGCCCACATATTAGAACATGGTATCTGATGTCAAATATTCACTAATGTAAACAATAAATTGCCTGGCTTCCTTTATACCACATTTTAATTTTTTCCCAAATTCTTTTAAGCCTTTTTGTTGTTGTTACCACCTGCTGGACCCGTCCTCCATTCATGTTTTTACCTCCGTCGCTCTATTTGAATCAGGACTCAGTTATCCCACACTCTGACTTGGACTCCATTTCCTGTTATTTTTGTCTCTAGTAGTTCAGCGACTCTACCAACAGTTTTAGAGGTAACACCCCTCTGATAGGACCAAAGTCCCAGGAATTCCTCTCTTACTGTGGTGTCTTATAAGCTACCCTATCATTGTGCCCAACTCACAATCAAGACCTGGAAACCTGTCTGCACTGGATGTCTTACCCTTCATTTCCTTCCACATTGGGACTTACCATTTGCTTCCATTTGAAATGACATTTAGAAGCCAAATGAGGCATAAAGATATACGTATATAGAGACAGTTCCCTAAGCCTTCAATGGGGAATGGAACTGCTCTACTGCTAAAGTAACCGTAGAGGTGAAAACTTGGCTTTGGAGAAATAATAATTAATGATGCACATAACTGGAATAGCAATGCTACCAGAAAAAGAAGTCACACACACACTCCCCGACTGAGAATTTTATCAGGACTCACCTTTTTGGAAGAATGTGCTGATCATGAATGCAAAGAAAACAGTGGCCGTGGCAAAAGACAGTAGGAAAACAAATATCAAGCTAGGGTCACTGTTCCTGAACACCGCCACACTGTTCACCTATGGAGCAGTCACAAACACACATTGTTTTTACGTGGAAAGAATGAGGAGAGGCATAAAATACCCTGAAAACAATGCAGAACTTTTATTTATTTATTTATTTATTTATTTATTTATTTATTTATTTAAATGAATTTGTTTTATTTTTTATTTTAGAGAGCGCATGAGTGGGGGAGAGGTGCAGCGGGAGGGGAGGGAGAGAGAGAGAGA